TTGGTGATCGGCTCGTCGACGTAGAGCACGCCCTCTTCCTGTAGTTGCATCGTCAGAGCCGCCGTGACCGGCTTAGTCTGCGAGTACATGCGGAAGAGCGCATCGAGCGGCAACTCGTTCTGCCGCTCGCTGTCGAGGTTGCCATGCGCCGACACGTGCGCGACATGTCCATGGCGGAGGAGGACGGTGACGACGCCCGGTACCTCGCCGTCAGCAACCGCCTGGGCCATGCGAGAGTCCAAGCGGGCCAGACGATCAGGGTCGATGCCGAGAGAAGCAGGGTCGGAGGAGGGAAGATCGGCAAAGTCGGACATCGGAGGCTCCTTGTGGGGTGAGCTAGCCCCAAAGCTGCTCGTACGCGCTGCATATTCGCTGGATGAACGCATCGTAGTGAAGCGGGTCGCCGATGGAAGGCGCTGGCGGTCGGCTGAAATATTCAGCGGGCTCTTCGTTGTTGGCGAAATCGATGATCAACGCTCAAACGGCGTCGATTCCAGTGGAGAGGCCGCTCCGACGAATTTCCAACCCTCGAACCTGCTGAATGCAGTGGCTGATCAGAGTGTCCACGTTCTTGTGCAGCGTGATTGCCTCACGCAAGGGCGATTTGAAGGATTCGGATGCATTGACAACCAAGACTCCTGCCGCAATCGTCTTGGGGTTGTAATGGTGAACATGCTGATGGTGCGCATCCAGATCACGGGTTCTGTTGCGCACGGCCTTTCTGTGTTCAGTCATCACTGACTTCAACTCAATGGCGACCTGGATCGTGGATGGGCTGCGTTGCCGAATGCCCTGCTCAAACTTCTTCTGCTCGCCAAGCGGAGGAGCTCCTATGACGAGATCGACGTTCCAGGAGACGTTTGCCTGGATATTGAAGTTCAAGTCGTACACGACATCGCCATCAAGCGCACGGCTGCGAAGCAATTGACAGTGCGCGTACAGGTCCGCTGCTATTGCGTGAGCCAGGGCATTGGAGTGTCAATTGGATCGAGGGTGATAGCCCTCGGCGGTGAGGTGATCAGTGAACGAGGATGGAAGGGCCATACAGCCTCATGAAGCGGCGCCTTCCATCAGCGAATACTGCGGAAGATGTGTTTCCAGTCGATGCGCGATGGCCGCAGTGTATGTCGGGTCGATCTCGACCGAGATTGAGCGCGCGCAGATGAGATGGCCGCTGCGGCTGTTGTGCCCGTTCCAGCGAACGGGTCCAGCACGGTATCTCCGCTGAAGCTGAACATCCGGATGATCCTGTCAGCAAGCGAAAGGGGATACGGCGCGGGGTGAAACGTGCGCCGTTCTCCGGGAATATCGTCCCAAATCGGCCGAAACCACTTTACATAGTCGTCGGTTGGGATTCTGGATTTGGCCTCTTGCTCAGGGGTCGGGCTGCGATACCCGCCAGGCTTGCGCAGAAAGAACAATATCTGTTCGATGTCGTCCTTGACGATTCCATCCGGGAGGTTCGGTTTCCCCAGAAATCGCGATGATCGGGAAGCCTCCAATGCGATGTTTCTCCTTCCATCCCGACTGTTCAGCCAGCGGATAGGGTCAGGCAGTCTGAATGCCCACCACTGATTCTCGCCTGACTGAAGTGTCGCACCCGAGAGAGGAACGACGTACAGTGTCGCCCGCCTTGACGTCGTGACACCAGGACATCCCCAACAACGCAAGCCACTCGCCCACCGGGTACCAGGACGCGGCGACACTCATTCCAGACGGTTGCCAGTTGGTCAAGGAAATCCTCGTAGTCGTCGAGGTTGCCTAACTGGTCGGGGGAATCTGGATAGTCGATGAGATTGAAATATGGAGGGCTCGTACAGATGAGGTGGACAGACTCGATCCTCGATCCACGAGAGGTCGCGCGCGTCTCCCTGAACGACGACATGTGGCAGGCCGTTCCGAACGATCTCGCGCCGAGTACCTCCTGCTTCGCTCGTAGTCGCCATGGCGATCCGGTCCTAATCGTTGTTCGCACAAATGTACAGGATGGCGAGCCTCGGTTCACTATCGAGGATAGGCGCTGGGATCGCGTAGCCTCCCAGTGATTGAGCGAGGTTGACATGGCGTATGCGTATGACCGCAACATTCGCGACAAGGTGGCGGTGATTGGCGTTGGCGAGACCGAGTACACCAAGCATGGACGGATTGGCCGGCCGGAGTTTCGGCTGGCGCTCGAGGCGATCCTTGCCGCCTGCGCCGACGCTGGGCTTGAGCCGAGGATGCTGGACGGGTTCTCGTCCTACTCGGCCGACCGCAACGACCCCAATCGGCTCTCGACCGCGCTTGACCTGCCGCACTATGCGTTCGCCTCGATGGTTTACGGCGGCGGCGGTGGCGGCGTCTGCGCGGCGATTGGCAATGCGGCGGCGGGGATCGTCTCGGGCTACTGTCGACTTCGTCGTGTCATCTCGACGTTGGCGCAAGGCGAGTTTGGCCGCTTCGGACTGTCTCGACGCGCAGGACGGCTGCGCGGTCAGTACGCGCTCAACGTGCCGCAGGGCCTGATGTCGCCGGCGCAGTTCCTGGCGATGAAGATGCAACGACACATGTATGAGTACGGCACGACCTCGGCGCAGTTGGGACACATCGCCGTCGCCGCGAACAAGCACGCACAGAACAATCCCCGCGCCGTGATGAACGGTCGGCCGATCACGCTTGAGGACCACCAGAACTCACGCATGATCGCCGATCCATACCGGCTCTATGACTGCTGTCTGGAGACCGACGGCGCGGCGGCGATGATCCTGACCACGGCCGAGATCGCGAAGGACTTCACCGACATTCCCGTTTATCTCTCGGCATCGGCGCAAGGCTCTGGACATCGGCAGGGCAATGTCGTCGACGGCTTCTGGCACGACGATTTCATGAGTTCGAACTACACGACCATGGTCGACCGTCTGTACACGGCGGCCGGGATGGGTCCCGAGGACATCGATTGCGGCCAGTTCTACGAGAACTTCACCGGCCAGGTACTGACCTCATTCGAGGATCAACAAGTTCTGCGAGGTCGGCGAGGGCGGACCGTTCTGCGAGGGAGGTCGGCTGAAGCAAAGCAGGTCGCCGACTCCGGCGCGCCACACGCGGGCGAGTTTCCGATCAACACGTCCGGCGGCAATCTGTCGGAGGCCTACACGCACGGCTTCAACCTCGCTGTCGAGGCAGTGCGTCAGTTGAGGGAGGACACGAGAGCGGTGAAGGGGCTGTTCGGACCTGCATCGTCGCGGCGGGCTCGGCTTCGGCGACGACTTCTCTGATTTCTTCCTTCCCTCGGTTCTGCTACTTTCCTCCGGGCGATTTTCCGCAACTGAGGAGTCAATAGTCCTGTCGCCGCTCAGGCAGGGTGTTTCCTACCCAAAAGATTCGTCATTCCCGCGCTCCGACGCGGGAATCTCGTCGAGCGCTGCACCGACGCTCGAACCTGAGTATCCGTGCCCGTAACGATCGCTCAGCCAGCTCTGGTGATTTCGTGCCGAGCTCAGCGAGATACCCGCGGCGAGCGCGGGTATGACGGAGGTCGAGGTCGTGCGACTTCTGAGAAAGGCTTCGGGGGCGGGGACGGATCGTAGATGCCTTACGACAGCGCCCGCTTGATGCAGTGGTTGGACGGCTGCGACCACTCGCCCGACTCTCGCTGTGCGATGGCGTTGGCGAGGATTTCGCCGATTTGATTCTGTAGCTGACGGGAACTGGGCCAGGAGAGGAAGCTCTCCTGCATGATGGTCACGACATAACGCGGCTGACTGCCTTGCCAGGGCGGCGCCAGCCAGATTGCGGCGCTATTCATACGCACGATGGACCGAATCTCAATCTCACTCGCCTGTTCCTTGAGCGGCGTGTCGCCCTCTTTCACTTCGGCCGCTACGGCAATCGCCTCCTCCGCCTGGTTCAGTTCCTCAAGCAGTTCGGTTACTTCTTCATAGTCGCGTGGGTCGACCTTGGCGAGGGGATCGGCGTCCAGGTCATCGGGAATTGTGAAGTTGCCGGTCTTGATCAGCGATTCCCAACCCGGAAGCGCCTGAGCGGGAATTTCTGCTCCCCAACGATGTTGGGCGACAACTGCGCGGAGCAGTTCGAATCCCTCCGACCTCGCGTCGTCGGGAATGGACTCGGACATCGCCAACGCTGCGAAGAGCCGAGCGAGATGCACCGGCTCGGCGAGGCTCGCCCCCCAGCGACTGCGGTGCGTCAATTCAATCAGCTTCCCGGGACCGCCCCAACGTTTCGAGTAACTGGCCCCCCCACCCCCTTGAATTGAAATCCCGAGAGTCCGCCGACCATATTGAGCAATGTGATGACGTCGGGATTCTGCGACCAGGCGACCATATAGAACAAGGCGTCGCGTTGCAGTTTGGTCGGCTCGCGTCCGTCTTCATAGCCGTCGCTGAGGATTGCCCAGGCGATCGGCGGTTTGATCACGCTATGCAGGGCATATGGCCCCGCGTGACCGCCTGACCACATCGTCCCGGTTTGCAAGTCGTAGACCGCGGCGCCCATCACGGCTTCGTGGCGCAGGACCTGGCGCTCGAAGTCTGGGGAGAGCGCGCACAGCGGCGCGTCGCGGATCGGGTGCTGGGAGGATAGTCTTAGAGGAGGGTAAACGTTGTCTAATGGTGCTTCCCGACCCCACCCCGTCGAATCGGAATCAGTGCGATCAGGAGCAATCGACGCATGGCGATTTAGCCTACAAGCATGGGAACCCGTTACCCTCGCGATATGACTAGTTTTGATGTCGAGCCCCCGAACCGTACCAAATGTTCTGATGCCGGCCGTTTTTTTTCCCGAAGGAATGACCACCCCGGAGCCCAGCGACCCGATCAACGGCGGATACTTCGCCGCTGCGGCCGAGGTGAAACTGGTGGTACAGGCCCTGCGGAGCTGACTGCGGGAAGTCGTCATGCTGCCGGGGGGTATCTCGTGGCTTAGCTTGTTGGCATAATCTTAATCAAAAATATATCAAACAAAAATCGCCACGCTTGAGGGATTCCTGCTACGGGTTCGAGATGGAATGGGAAGAATCGGCGGGCGCCGGGACCGTGTACTCCTGGGTCGAGGTTGCGCATCCGGCACATCCGGCGCTGCGCGAGTTTGGACCGTACGTGGTCGCGCTGGTCGAGTTGGACGACATGCCCGAGATCAAGTTGATCGCGGTCGTTGACGCGCCGCTGGGCGGCACGATGGAGATCGGCGCGCGCGTGCGGGTCGTGTCGAACAGACAGCCGAGCGGATCCTGCGCAGTCCGACTGCTGGCAGATGGGCTGACGGCTCAAGCGCACGGCCTCGTCGGGCGGCGTTTCGCTTCCACGTCGAGCGTCAGTGACGATCTCGTGATGGTCCTGGCCGGCTCGCAGATGCTGGTCCAGCTCGACGCGACCATCATCAACACGGCGCTGCCCGCGATCAAGCGCGCATTCGAGCTCTCCGAGGGTCAGTCGCTGTGGTCTGCAGACGCCTACATGTGGTGATTTGCTTCTCGGTGGTATTGTTGCTGCTGTGCCGGCGCGAGCGCTCGCGACCGCTTTGGCCGACGCAAGGTCCTGATAATCGGCATGGCGATCTTCGTCGCCGCGTCAATCGCCGTTGCCTTCTCGCCCGATGCCAACTTCCTGATACTCGGACGTGGACTACAGGGTCTCGGCGGCGCATTGGTGATTCCCCAGACGCTGTCAATCCTGACCGCCGTCTTCCCTCGCGAAGAGCGCGGCAAAGCGATCGGTATCTGGTCGGGCGCGCTCGGCTTCGGCATGGCGCTCGGCCCGCTTGTGGGCGGCATTCTCGTTGACCTGATCGGCTGGTCGGGCGTGTTCTGGGTGCCCGCGCCGATCGCCGCGTTGGCAATGCTCGGCATGTCCGTCGTCCCCGAGTCGCGCTCGAAGCAACACACCAAGCTCGACATCCCCGGCGCGATCACGAGCACGATTGCGATGATCGCGATCGTCTTTGCGATCATCGAAGGGATTCAGAGGGGCTGGTCCGACCCCGTCATCCTGATAGCGTTCGCCGTCACTGCAATTTCGACGGTGATGTTCATCATCATTGAGCGCCGCACCGACCAGCCGCTGCTGCCAATGGCGTTCTTCAAGCAGCGCGATTTCACCGGCTCGATGGTCGGCATGTTCTTCATCATGTTTGCCCTGATGGGCGTGATGTTCTACATGCCCCAGTTCTTCCAGCTGGCGCAAGGGTTATCAGCCTCCGAGAGCGGCGCACGGATGATGCCGCTGGCGATAGCGATGATGATCTTCGCACCGATCATGGCGAAGCTGTTACCCAAGGTCGGCCCGCGATTCATGCTGTTCTGGGCCCCGGCCGTCCATGGCGGCGGCGCGCTGTTGATCCTCAGTTTGATCCTCGATATTGATACGCCGTACTGGATGATCGGCCTCGCACTGGCCTTCCTCGGTCTGGGCGGTGCGATGCATATGACTTCGACGACCGATACCTCAATGGCGGCCGTGCCGGTCGACCTGGCCGGCAAGGCGTCGGCCATCAACAACGCCGGCCGACAGCTCGGCGGTACGCTGGCGATTGCGATCCTGGGATCGTTCGCGGCGGCCGTCTACTCCTCGGGTGTGACCACCGGGTTGGCGCCGCTGGGCGTGGCCGAAGGCGCGATCGAGACCATTGCCTCGGGCATCGGCGCAGCGCAACAGGTCTTGCCGACGCTCGATCCTCAGATCATTCCTCAAGCTGAGCTCCTGATGCGGGAGTCGTTCGTCAACGCGATTACCGACACGATGCGTTTCGGGATCGTGTTTGCGTTGATCGCGGGCATCGTCGGCTGGATCCTGGTGCCAAAACGTCAGCGTCAAACGCAGATGACATGGGAAGGCGGGAAGCCGGTTGAGCCCGTCGGCCGCGCCCACAGCAGTCGTTGCGATTTCGACCAACGGCGCATCCGCCAACGGCGCGTCGGCGAACGGCGTCCGCAAAGTTGCACCGCTGGCCAAGGCGATGGCGCTACAGCGTCCGCAGAAATCGGGGCTTCCGTAGGCAACATGATTCGACTGAGCCTGGCGGTCGGCTGCGTGGTCGCAGTCGTCGTTGCAGTCATCCTCTCGACGCCCGGACCCGGCTATTTCTGCGGGTCGACCTACGGCGACGGCGCGCGTTGCCTGTCCGCAGGCGATGAGCTGTTGTTTCAATCAACCACGCTTGGACTGGATGCCGGTGCGGCCTCAGAGAGTCGTATCGCAGAGATCGCAGGGCGAGAACGCGCCCTGTTCGGCGGTGGATTGAGTCTCACTTTGGGTCAGAGCGGGCTTTGGGGACAATCCTTGTTGTACTGCCGGAGCGATGTCTGCGAGATCAAGCCGCTGGAAGATAGCCCCGGAACGTTCGTCTTGGAGCGAGGCCGGCTGATCTACTGGCGCTCGCTGCCTACAGATACAGAGATGAGACGAACTCAGCGTCATGATCAACGACGGCTCGATACTCAAGCCGCTCGAACTGGTGGATACGACTGCTCAGCGGACTGGGGCGCAGGATTCGTCTGCTTCGACGAGGGTGAAGTCATCGTTGACGTCAGGGTCAGCATTGCCGGTGGTGAAGCGATAACTCCAGCAGGCTCCGGCGCCCAGTTCAGCGAGGCAAGAGATCGGTTGGAGTTCACATTCGGATCCCGAGCGGCGATCTACGAGATCCAGCTCTGGATGAACTGCGTGACGCAGCGTTGCGTCCTGGGTGTCAGTGAGTCAGAGGGGAACGCCGGTGAGGTCCTCGAAGGCTCTTTCGCCGTTCGGCGCGACACCCCGCGCTGACTCCACCGTTCGGTAGCCTTGTCGCAATGATCGCTGCCCGAACGAAGTCCAACTTCAACCTGGACGACGCGTGAGTCGCACCGCCGACGGCGATGTCGCCTCCGTTGACGTTGGCTCGCGCCGACGCTGGCTGGTGCTGCTGGTCCTGGCCGGATCCAACGATTGTGGCGCTCGACGCGACGATTGTGAATACGGCGCTGCCGACGATCAAGCGCGTCTTCGAGATGACGGAGTCACAATCGCTGTGGGTGCCCGACGCCTACCTGGTGCTGTTTGGCGGATTGCTCCTGCTGTCGGGAGCGCTGGGCGACAGGTTTGGCCGGCGGCGGCTGCTGGTGATTGGCTTGGCGGTCTTCACGCTTGCATCGATCGCCGTTGCGTTCTCGCCGCACCTGACGCAGCGCGTTGACATTCGTCGTCGTGGATTGTCAGAGTCGGCGGCGCGCTGGTCATTCCTCAGGGGCTGTCGACCCTGACGCGGTGTTCCCGCGCAAGGACAGAAGCAAGGCGTTTGGCATCTGGGCCGGTTCGATGGGGATCGGCATGGCGCTCGGTCCCTTTCTCGGCGGGATGCTCGTTGACAACCATCGCTGGTCGGCCGTCTTCTGGGTGCCGGCGCCGTTGGCTGCGTTGCGCTGATCGGTCTGACGATCGTGCCGCCGACCAAGTCGGTGATGTACACCAAGCTCGACATGCCCGGCGCGGTGACCGGCAGCGTCGGGATGATTGCGATGGTCTACTCAATCATCGAGGGCATCCCCCGCGGCTGGGACGACCCGGTCATCCTCGCCACGATTTCGGTCGCCGTGATTTCGCTCACCGCGTTCATCCTGATCGAGCGACGCACCGAGCAGCCCTTGATGCCGCTGCTTCTTCAAGCAACGCGACTTCGTCGGCGCGATGGTGGCCATGTTCTTCATCATGTTCGCGCTGATGGGCGTGCTCTTCTACCTGCCCCAATTCTTCCAGCTGGTGCAGGGCGTCTCGGCGACCGAGAGCGGGCTGCGCGTGATGCCGCTCGCGATTGTGATGATCGTCTGCGCCCCCATCGCCGGTTTCATTCTGCCCAAGGTCGGACCGCGATTCCTGCTCTTCTGGGCGCCGAACGGTCCACGGCGGCGGCTGTCTGCTGATCTCGGGCTGGTGCTCGCCGTCGACACGCCGTACTGGATGATCGCCGTCGCGCTGGCCTGGCTCGGGCTGGGAGGCTCGCTGCACATGCGGCGACCACACCGACACCTCAATGGCCGCCGTCCCGGTCGACATGGGGCAACGCTCTGCGGTCAGCACCGACAGGCAGGCGCTGGCTGTACGATTTCGAAGACAAGTCGCCATCCTGGGCAGCTTCGCCGCCGTGATGTACGCCTCCGGCGTCCGCGACGGACTAGCTGGAATGCCACTGTCGGCAATGGACATCGATGTGCTGGCCTCAGGTATCGGAGCGGCGCAGCAAGTCTTCCGACACTGGACAGCGATGATCGGAGAGGTGCAAGCCGCGCTGACCGAGTCGTTCGTTCAGCAATCAGAGCGGACCTTCCTCTTCGGCATCTCATTCGCAGTGGTCGCCGGAGTCGTGGGCTGGTTCCTGGTGCCAAAGCGTCAGCGTCAGGAGCAGGCGACATCGCTGGGCGGCGTGGAGATCATCTCCGTGGCCACCGTGTCGGCGAACGGCCTGTCGCCGAATGGGTCTCGTGAGTTTGCGCCCGTTGCACGAACAGTGGCGTCGGCGAGGCCCCAAAAGTCGGCTGTCCCGTAGTTTCCAACGCAGGCACGAAACGAGAATTTGCTCCCCCTCTCAGGAGGAAATCCCCTCTCCCCCCCTTGCGGGGGGAGATGTCACGGAGTGACAAAGGGGGGGCTCCCTCAGCGACCAGATAGGCCTCGAGCTGGGGAGGCTCCCCTCTGCCTACGGCATTTCCTCCGCAAGGAGACCCTTGAGAAACTCCAGCTCTGCCATATCTCAGTCCCCGCCCCCGAGCGGGGACCAGCCCCCTTCCCCATGCGCGACTCTTGCAAAGGTCTCTGCAAGGGGCGGCGGGAGCCTCAATGGCCTCTTGGTACGTAACTGAGTCACCTACGTGGACATCGGGATGCGTTCGATATCGCCTCGATTGATCCCTGCGATCTCTTCAACGAACCCTACGAAGTCGTTTACGTTCCCAGAGCCCCCCCGCTCGGCCCCACCTGACGCGCCAACCGACGCCCTCCATCCTCTAAGAACGCTCTGAATAACTCCGATCCACCCTTCTCCCCTCGCGGGGGAAGCTGCCGAAGGCCGAAGGGGGGGTCCCGATCGGCCACCGACGGGATTTATCCAGAGGATTCCTAACACCACCAAACGTTGCCCGCGACGCACTTCATCCAATAAGAACATATATACGATGCCGTAAGCCGCAACCCGAACCACTCAACGGAGATCAATCCATGTCCTTCCCCCACTTCCCCAACCCCGCCCGACGAGCCAAACTCCTTCTCGCCCATCAACTCCGGCAGCAGGGACTCACCCTCCGTCAGATCGCCCAACGCATGGACTGCGCCCACTCCACCGTCTCCGGCTACCTCAGCGACTTCGAACTCTTCCGCACCGACCTCATCCAGGAACTCGCCGCCGACCAAATCGTCTCCCACGTCATCCAGCTTGCCGACCTCTCCGACGAACATCACGACCGACGACTCGCCGCCGTCCGCGAACTCCGGCTGCTCCTCGGCGCCGTCCCCAAGATCCGATACGACGAATACCAGCGCGTCGGCGTGCTCACCCAGGCCGGCGTCTCCGTCGACCGCTACGGCAACCGCCACCCCATGCTCAACCGCATCTACCCGCCAACCCCCCAGGAATCGGCCAAACTCGAACGAAACGCCCAACTCCCCGCCCAAACCGAACTCGACCCCGACCAACCCCTCACGATTCCCCTCTCCCCCCTTGCCGCCAACAATGCAAAACTCCGCAGATCTCTCTCCCCCCCTTGCGGGGGGAGATGTCACGGAGTGACAGAGGGGGGGTCGCCCAACGAACCAGCCGACGAACCAGCCGCACCCATTCGAACAAAATCGAACAAATCCGAACAGAACACCGCCAAACCCAGCCCACAACGGCAAATCCGCCAGCACGACCAACAATCCCCGCCGCCCACCGAACATCCCCGTCCCAGCGCCATCCCCGACGAAATCCGAGCCTTCCTCGAACACTCAACCCGCGACTGGATTAACGACTACCCCCGACACAACCCCCACCACCCACTCCGACAGGCCGCCCTCCAACTCAAAGCCGAAGCGAAAAACCGCCAGGCCCCAGCAACCCAGCAGACCAACGCGCCGCTCGTCCCCGGATGAGAACTCAGACCCCAAGCAGCGACTCCGCCACGCGCTCACCGATCATGATGGCGGTCAGGTTTGTGTTGCAGCTCACGATGTCGGGCATGATTGAGGCGTCGGCGACGCGAAGATTCTCCACCTGGTGGACTCGACCCTGTTGATCGGTGACGGCGAGTGGGTCGTGGACCGACCCATGCGGGCCGTGCCGCAGATATGCCAGGTGGTTGAAGTGGTGCGGCGGACGTAGTCGGCGAGGGCGTTTTCTGACTTCATCACCTCCGGCCTCGGCGCGATGACTCGCTCGGTGAACTGCGCGATCTCGTCGGAGTGCATGATCTCCCAGCACAGCCGCGCGCCGTCGATTAGCCGGCGCAGATCCTCAGGATGCGAGGCATAGTTCATGTCCAGTTGCGGTGGTCGTTGGGGTCGGTCGAGCGCAGCGTGACGGAGCCGCGCGAGAGCGGACGCTGGATTACCGCGCCGATGCCAAACGACGGATGCTGTCGCGGCGCTTCGGTCAGGCCGCGTACCTGCTCCTCGTCCCAGATCGTCGAGATGGCCAGTTGCATGTCGTTGAACTGGTCGGAACCGGGCGCGGTGTAGCGGACGCCGACCTCGGTCACGATGTCGGGGTCGTGCACAACGCATCGGCTTTGGGGAAGGCCTGCACGCCGGTGCCGCAGTGGTCGATCAGGTTCTCGCCGACGCCGGGCAGCGGGACCCGCTGCTTGATCCCGTGCGGCGAGAGCTTCTCTGCCGGTCCGATTCCGCTGCGCATCAAGATCGCCGGGGAGACCGCCGTCCCCGCCGAGACGCAGACGCGGTCGGCGAGGATCACTTCGCCGTCGCTAAGAATGACACCATCGACACGAGCGCCCTGATCGCCGTCGAAGCTGAGCTTGTCGACGAGTACCCCGTGGCGGATGGTCAGATTCTCGCGGTCGCGGATGCCGAGCAGGTAGGCGATGTTGGTCGAGATGCGATTGCCGTTGCTGCGATTGCGCGGCCATGGTCCAACCCCGGTGGCGTCGGGCAGGTTGTGGTCCCAGATGTCGTTGAATCCGTTGTCGAGGCAGGCGTCGTAGAAGGCGCGCTGTAGCGGCTGCCACGTGTCGGCGGCGGGACGCTCGATTTGGAACGGGGCCCGATTGGCCGTGGAAGTCGCCGCCTTCGGGGTCCGATTCGAGGCGTCGGTAGTAGGGCAGGACGTCCTCGAAGCGCCACTCGTCGCAACCGTGCGCGACCCAGGACTCGAAGTCGCCGGGGACGCCGCGCAGGGCAATCGTCCCATTGACTGCTGACGAGCCGCCCATCACCTTGCCCCGATGCAGCGGGAACTCGCGTCCGTGCCGGGCGTTGGCCTTGAAGCCCCAGTCGTGGTCGCGCCACGAGACCCACGGCTTGAGCAGGTCGCGCGGCATGTCCTCGACACGGGTGTAGTCGGGCCCGGCCTCGAGCAGCAAGACCCGACGATTTGGGTCCTCGGACAACCGAGCCGCAATCACCGCCCCCGCCGAGCCTGCGCCGATGATGATGTCGTCGTAGCGCACGTGTTCCTGGGTCATGTCGTCCCCCGCATTGCTTCCCGAACTGCTTCCCGAGTCGTGGGCTGAGGATACGTCAGCAGTACGTCGGCGTTACGCCAGCAGGGCGAGACCATCCGATAACGTGACGAGAGCAAGGCTGGCATCCCCGTCTCCGTCATTCCTGCGTAGGCAGGAATCACGAAGCGCCTACGTCGTTGACGAGGCAGGACAACGCCGTACCCCGACTTCTGCTAGCGGAGAGCCGGGTACGGCGAGATGCATGGCTGCTATCGATAAATCGAGGATTTCGATTTCTGCCTTCGCAGGAATGACGAGATTGGCGAGGAATGACGGAAGTGATGAGGACTTGAGTGAGTGACTCCATGCCTGACGATTTAGTCCCGGCGTACGAAGGCCTGGTCGTGGTCGATCTGTCGCGCCGACTCTCGGGAGCGTTTCGCGGCGCGGCTGTTCGCCGACCACGGCGCAGATGTGGTGATGCTGGAGCCGCCCGAGGGCCATCCACTGCGACACGAAGCGCCGTTCCTCAACGACGAGCCGGGCTTGGAGCGATCGGCGCTGCACGCGTACGTGAACTGGAACAAGCGCTCCGTGTTCGTTGCCGACCCATCGGAGGCGGAGCCGTGGATCGCCGGCGCAGATGTCGTGATCACAACCGATGGTCCGTCCGCGCTCTCGATCTGGCCGCTGTCGGCCTTGCGATCCGATGCCGTGCATCTGTCGGTGACGCCGTTTGGTCTGGACGGACCGTTGGCCGACGTACCTGCGGGCAACCTGACAGTGAATGCGCGCTGCGGCTGGGCGTATATCAACGCGATGCAAGACGAGCCGCCGGTGACGCTGCCCTCCCGTCAGACTGGATTCGTGGGCGGGCTTGCCGCGTTCGTGGCGGGCTCGGCAGCGTTGCGAAGACGATGGGAATCGCAACTGCCCGAGGTGGCCGATGTCCGAGAGCTCGAGGCGCTCACCCACACCGGATATCCGTGGTCGATTGGCGCGATCTACCAGGGCATGGGATGGTCGCGCGGCGCGGCGGGTGGTCGGCCTCGCGGCCAGCCCGGCCCGCTGTTTCACGCCGCGGATGGACGGATGAATTTCGGCTTCGGCGACTGGCATAACTGGCAACAGGCGATGGAGCTGCTCAATCTCCCCGACCAGGGCGCCCGCAAGGAGCTGCATCCGCACGACGGCCGCTACTCGAAAGACCTCGAACCGGTGCGAGCCGGCGTAGCCCGAGAGCTGACCCACATCGAGAAGTGGCCGCTGTTTCACCAACTGGCAAAGCTGCGTTGCATCTCGGGAGTGCTGCAAACGATTCCCGCCTGGTCGAGAACGAACAGCTGCGGGCCCGAGGGTTCATTGTCGAGACCGAGTTAGACGGCAAAACGGTTACCGCGATTGGCGAACGCACATCTGCGGCGCGCTGAACATTCCTCAGGCCCGCTACCGATGTAGTACGTCTCTGCGCCGACCGGCTGCGTGACTGGCGTACGTCACCCGCCCAACAGTTGGGATGCCGCACTTCGATCCGACATACATGGTCCTTCGCACTCGCTCCACCGGCCAGTCCTGCCAGTCCTCCTGAAAAGTCAGAATTAGTCTCCGGAAGAAGGGGCCCGGCTTGTACACTGGTATGTTCGCAATCTGAACATTCCCGGTGCAGCCCTGGAGCTGAGCGACTTCGCCCCGACTGCGTGAGCTGGTCATTCGGTGCATGTGTACCTTCGGAGCCGTGTGATGTCGCGTCGCTATCAGAGACTGGTGAGGCGTGACGTTGGCAAGCCCATACGTGGACATCTGGCGCACGGTAGGTCCTCGGGTGCCGAACGCGATCCTCGACGATTCAAAAGCGAAGCATCCATTGAATACACAGGGCCTGTACAACGCGGGTCACCGCCTTAATATTGCTCGGGATCACGCTCGACCTCCGCTCAGGCCGCGCGACAGTGTCAACAAGACTGATTCTGGCGAGGATGCGGACTCGTCTTCGCTGAGTTATCTTTGTGCGATGTCCGATCTGCCACTATCACTACACTTGTTGCCACGCCTACACGGTAGAGACGCGACACACCCACTACCCTCGAGCTGCCTCATGCCTCGCTTCTGCGTGGACACACCTGGGGTAATCCAGCACGGCCCTGCGAAACGCCTTGGAGTCTTCCGCGTGTGGAATGCTAACGTGGAGGGCACTGGTTATGAAGTCATCTGTCTGCCACAAATCTCGGGCTACGGCACGACCGGTCCCTACGCTCCCTATCCGGGCACCGCGCGGAACGGACCGGCCCGATGTCCGGCTTGTCTTCGATTCATGGCTACGAGAGCGACATCCCTGCGATGAACAGAACGGGCGGGCCTCTTCTGTATCCTGACCGCCAAATCGTCGTCGCATACTCGGCGGCCACTCTTCAATCCAGCATCTTCCAGTGTCGTTTCCTGTCCGCGTGTGGCGTGCGCGCGCACCCTTCTTGTGTTGTTGCGGGCTGGGTGCCGCGTGCCTAGTTTGCACTGAGTGTCCTGGTGTCGCGATTCGTGGCGGAGTTGCGGGCTCATGTGGTGCGCGGGCATGTCTTGGGGCGGGTGCGGCTCCTGTGGCTTCGTCGCCGTTCCTATGTTCGTATGAATGTATTCTATCTAGTATGCGTACTTGTGGTCTGTGATTAGTCGCCGGCGCGGGCCAATCTCTCCAACAAAGCTGATGCGGGCACGGCGGTGAGGTGCCAGTACTCGCTACCGCCTTGTGAGGCGGGAAAAATGTGTGCGATGCTGAAACAGTTCTACCCGTTGGGCCTTCGCTGACGCACCGTCTCCTACTCGCGCACTGCGCCGCGGCTCGACGCAATGTTGGGCTAAGGTCAGCAGCTGGCGTCAACTACGATTGTACACGCGGAAATCAAACCCCGCCCCTTCTGTGCTTGCACTGCGAGGCGTGTGGGCCTACGTCGAACAGTTCGCGGTCGTCCCTACATACAAATATATTCGGTTGAGTTCGATCTGATACGAGTTGCGGCATTGTGGGTCTGGAGATGGCTCCGCCGACCTCGTGGGTGGGGCGAGTGTGCCGGCCACTACCAGACCGGCCGTTGGTGGTGGCGCGCGGTTGTTGTGTTCCGCGGTTCGCTATGATGCGCTCGCGTGCAGCCCTCTTCCTGCGGTCAGTACACCCGATATTGGCGCTGGACAGTCTCATCACCGCCTGTACTTCATACAGATTCGGCATAGGTCGAAGCGAAGGCTATTGGCAATCGGGGAAGGCTCGACGCTGGCTGCCGGGGGTGCCTGCTCCGTTCACATGTACGACGACCAACTCAGCAGTGTCTTCTGAGGTGCCAGGTACCTGGATTCCTATACCCTGAAACCTATCGTGAACTTGTAACCGCGGGTCAACGAGTGTTTCGATGTTTATCAAATCGCGGCGGATAATGGCCAAATCGCGAAAGTGCTGGGCGGTTCCCGGGCATGCGTAACCCCAATTCCCTCCCTTAAACCCTGACCGAACTCTCGTACCCATGCTGAAAAATCCGACCGGCGGAAAACGGAGCCGCGAAGTCGATCAAGTCGACTGCCCCGCTACGCGCCTCGCATCACATGCCCGGGAGTGTCCGGGTGGGAAAAAAGCCAACACAGCTTGTTCGTCGGGCTCATCGCGAAACGCCAACAACATCCCTTCCCACTTCTATGTACAATAAAATCTTTCAACGCGTGAAGTCGGCCCACCGGCCATGGGGCAGAAACACCTGAACCTAATTACCTTGAAATAGTCGGAAATCCGGCTGCCCGTTGAGGTCACGCGCCCTGACCTCTCTTCCAGTTTTTCCCGTCCTTCTCTCCCTGTCTGTCCCCTCTCTCACTCCATTTCTTTCCTGGTTCTTTCCCCTACACACCAAGTGATAACCCGACCACCTTAAATCGTACCTCGCTCCTCGGGGACCTCTTGTTCGTGCAGCGCCGGCCCGTGGGTAACCCAACTAAAAAGGCGGGCTGAACCCGCTCACTACAGCGGGCCCACGATGACCAATCACAATACTCCGACACAACAAAAACCTACCTGTTCAAATGGGTGCTAATCGAGGGGGCCATCGGCTCCCGCCGTAAAAACCGAAATAACAATCCGGGGGCGGGGGCATCGCGGCTGGGAATTCTTCCTTCTCGAGTCCAACCCAAGTTCATCCCGTTCCAGAACTCCATGACTCTTCTTATTCGAGATTTGACGTGGGGTACCGTTCACGTTTCCCCTGTCCCCCATCTGTGCCCGCTTCCTTTTTCCCTTTTCCCCTCTCCTCTCCCCTCCCTCCTTCCTCCCTCCCGATGCCTCCTGCCCCTTTTTTCCGTCTCTTTCCTTCCCCCCTCTTTTTCTTCCTCTCCTTTCTTCTCATATCCCTTTCTCCCCTTCTTCTTTTTACTTCCATTCCTTTTCCCCTTGCTCCCCTCGAAGCTTTTTTTTCCCCTCTCTCCTTTCCTCGTCTTCGTTTTCCTTTCTTTTAGTTGTTATCTACACTTTTTCCCTGTGCCCATTTCCCCTCTAAGAGCTTTTTCCGGTTCCCTGCTTACTCCCCTCGTTTTTCGCTCTTATTTATTTCTCCTCCCTCCCTACCGAACCATCTTTTCTCCCTTTTCCCCTCATAGCCCGCTCCTCGCCGGTTTCCCCTCTAAGCCACATCAATGTCCCTACCTTTTGTTCGTGGCACATGGAAAGACTTGAGGGCTTAACGGGCGGCCCTCATCGTCAGTTACTGACTGTGAGTCCTTTGGTTTGGTCTTAGATCCGGTCTCACTTTTTCTTTTTCGTTTACCCCTAAGCCCTATCTAGCGGCAAGTAATCGCTCCCTCTTTCCTAGTTGTCTTGTTGCTTTGCTTGATACCTTCTTTGGCATTCCTTCCTTTTACTTTTTCCTGCTGTCCTTTTGTTTACACATATTTTCTTCGATTTGAATTTCCTTGGCTGTTTTCGGGGGACCTGAGAATCGCTGGCTGTTGCGCTTGCTGGCGCGGGGGCTCTTTTCTTTTCTGGATCGTCTTTCTTCTTGCCGTCGCCGTGCGTCGGCGAGCACTCGTTCGAGGTGCTGTCGAAGGAGTTGGGAATGACCGAGGCTGAGTATGCGGCCGTTGGTGAACGTCGGAGGATCACCGGGACGCGTACGCACGTCGCAAAACTGTGGCTGTGCCACCACAGTCCGGGAGACTGAGAAACAAGCGGGCGGCGCCTCTCAGTACTTCGCCGCAGAATCTTGCTTCTTATAATGGAAAGCTCGACAACCGACCTCGCTCCTGTCCGCGCGGACGCCCCTCAGCATCGGCAAGCGCGCGGAAGGGATGAGATGAGTCCCCGCTTCCATCACCGCCTCTGCAAGAACGAAAAACTCAAGATTCCCCTCTCGCTTGCGGGATCCTCGATGTCGCGGAGTGCACGAGAGTCCGCCGCCAGCCGGCAGATAGGCTTGAGAAGGACGCCTCAGCCTACGCACTCGTCAAGCGAAGGGGACTTATTCAAGGTCTCCTTGCGAAGCTGGTCGCGAACGTGAGTGAAGCGCGCGCATCACGCGACATCTTTAGCTCGAGCATGTTTACCTGCGCGAGCGCCGAGTTCGGTCGCTGATATCGTGGCGATGGGTGACTGTGCTGTTGTCCTTGTCCCGCCCGTAGATGGAGTGACGTATGCCGCCGAGTGATTCTGTGTCGAAGTTGTTGATTGCCAATCGCGGCGAGATCGCGATTCGCGTGGCTCGGGCGGCGTCCGATCTGGGGATTGGCGCCGTATCCGTCTATTCGAAGGACGACGCCAGGTCCCTGCATGTCCACGCGGCCGACGAAGCGGTTGAACTCGATGGACTGGGCGTCCCGCCATACCTGGACATCGATGGTCTGATCGAGGCTGCGCAATCGACCGGTTGTGACGCCGTGCATCCCGGCTACGGATTCCTGGCCGAGTCGGCGGAGTTCGCGCGCCGCTGCCGTGACGCGGGACTCACCTTCGTCGGCCCGACGCCGCACTTGCTCGACCTGTTCGGCGACAAGGTGCGAGCTCGGCAGGCGGCGCGCGAGGCCGGCGTGCCGGTGATCGAGGGCTCGGACGAGGCGGTCACGCTGCAAGAAGCCCTCGACTTCTTCGAGTCGTTGGGCGAGGATGCGGCGATCATGCTCAAGGCGGTCTCCGGCGGCGGCGGTCGCGGCTCGCGGGCGGTGACGAATATCGACGAGCTGGAAGCCGCCTGGCAGCGCTGCGAGTCGGAAGCGCGGATGGCCTTCGGATCGAGCGCGCTGTATGTGGAGCAACTGATTCCTCGCGCTCGTCACATCGAAGTGCAGATCATCGGCGACTGCACGGCGAGGTCGGACACCTGTGGGAGCGTGAGTGCTCGGTGCAGCGCCGATTCCAGAAGATCGTCGAGATCGCGCCGGCGCCACATCTTGAGCCGGAGACGCGTGAGGCGATCATCGAGGCGGCCGTGCGAATTGCCCGCGATGTCAGCTACTCCTCGCTGGGTACGTTCGAGTTCCTACTCGATGCCTCAGCAGGTTCCAATGGTTCTTTCTACTTCCTCGAAACGAACGCGCGGCTCCAGGTCGAGCACACAGTGACCGAGCAGGTCACGGGCGTCGACCTGGTGCAATCACAACTTCGCGCTGCGCAGGGCGTGTCCATCGCCGACCTTGGCCTGGACGATCCGTCCTGGCTGCGACCACGCGGTTTCGCGATCCAGACTCGCGTCAACATGGAAACGCTGACCGCCGACGGCTCGGTGCGCCCGGCGTCGGGGACGCTCAAGGCGTATGAAGCGCCGTCCGGACCGGGCGTGCGCACCGATGGCTTCGGCTACGTGGGCTACCAGACCTCGACCGCGTTCGACTCGCTGCTGGCCAAGGTCATTTCGCATTCGCCAACGCCGAGGTTTGAGGATGCGGTCACCCGCTCGCTGCGAGCGCTGTCCGAGTTCCGCATCGAGGGCGTCGCGACGAACATTCCGTTTCTCACCAATGTGTTGGAGCATGAGGACCTCGTCCAAGGACGCGTGCACACGCGCTGGGTCGACGAGCAGATGGCCGCACTGGCCTCGACCAACGGTGTGCAGCGCGTCCGCTATCTGCAGACGGTCACTCCGACCGCAGACTCCGGCTTCGCCGGCGCGCGCGTCGACTCGCGCGACCCGCTGGCCCTCTTCAAGCACGACGAGCAGGTCAAGCAGCAGCAGTCGGTCCAGGTGGTCGAGGAAGATGCGCCGGACTTGACTGGTCCTGAGGGATCGATCGGATTGCCCGCGCCGATTCAGGGCACGATCGTCGCGATCCTGGTCGAGGAGGGCCAGGAGGTGCGGAAGGGCCAGGACCTCGTCGCCATGGAAGCGATGAAGATGGAGCACGTGATCTCCGCTGACCGCGACGGGATTGTGAAGTCGTTGGCCTGTTCCATCGGCGACGTGATCCGTGAGGGATTCCCGCTGGTCTTCATCCTCGAGGCCGAGGTGTCCGTTGCCGAACTCAGTGGCGACGATCTGATCGATCCAGACTTCATCCGCCCCGACTTGCAGGAAAACTATGACCGTCACGCCTACACGCTGGACGAGAATCGCCCGGTCGCGATGGCCAAGCGTCGCGGTCGCGGCTATCGCATGCCGCGCGAGAACATCGAACAGCTCGTTGACCCGGGTTCATTCCAGGAATACTGGCCGCTGATCGTTGCGCGCCAGCACCAGCGCAATACCGACGAGCAGCTCCGCGAGAACACACCCGCCGACGGTCTGTTGGCCGGCACCGCGACGATCAACGGCGACCTGCTCGAAGAAGAGCGGGATGCTCGCGCAATCGTGGTCCACTACGACTACACGGTGCTCGCCGGCACGCAGGGCGGTCGCAACCATTACAAGCAGGACCGCATGTTTGAGATGGCGCGGCGGTTCCAATTCCCCATCGTCTTCTACACCGAGGGCGGCGGCGGGCGTCCAGGCGACGACCGCACCGGCCCAGGCGTCGCGTTCGACACCTACACATTCACCCAGTTCTCGAAGCTGAGCGGGTTGGTGCCGCTGGTCGGCGTGACCAACGGACGCTGTTTCGCCGGCAACACGGCGTTGCTCGCCTGTTGCGACGTAATCATCGCTACCGAGGGCTCGACCGTCGCGATGGGCGGTCCGGCGATGATCGAAGGCGGCGGGCTCGGAATCTACACGCCTGAGGAAGTCGGGCCGATGTCGTTCCAGGTGCCAAACGGCGTCGTCGACATCCTCTGCAAGGACGAGGAAGAGGCGACCGACATCGCCAAGAAGTACCTCAGCTACTTCCAGGGACCGATCAAGGAGTGGACCGCGCCCGACCAGCGCCGCCTGCGGCACATCGTGCCCGAGAATCGGCTGCGGCTCTACGACATGCGCGAGATCATCGACACCATCGCCGACGAGGGCTCGGTGCTGGAGATTCGCGAGAAGTTCGGGATCGGGATCATCACCGCATTCATCCGCGTCGAGGGACATCCGATCGGCGTGATCGCCAACAACCCGCACCACCTCGCCGGCGCGATTGACTCGGATGGCTCCGACAAGGGCGCGCGATTCCTCCAGCTCTGCGATGCCTTCGACATCCCCGTGCTCAGCCTGATGGACTGCCCCGGCATGATGGTTGGCCCCGATGTCGAAGCGACCGCGCTGGTGCGTCACTGCGCGCGGATGTTCAATACCGGCGCCAACCTCAGCGTGCCGCTGTTCGGCGTGGTCGTGCGCAAGGCCTACGGACTCGGCGTCCAGGCGATGTGCGGCGCCAGCGCGTTGGTCGGGTTCTTCACGGTCGCCTGGCCGACGGCGGAGTTCGCCGGCATGAACCTCGAGGGTTCGGTCAAGCTCGGCTATCGCAAGGAGCTGATCGCGATCGAGGACGCCGAGGAGCGAATTGAAACATACGAAAACATGGTCGCCAGGGCGTACGAGAACGCCAAGGCAGTCAACGCCGCCGCCGGCGGAGGTCTCGACGACGTGATCGATCCCGCCGAGACGCGCACCTGGATCGCAAATAGCCTGAAGCGTCTACCGCCGACGCCAGAGCGTCGTGGGAAGAAGCGCCCCTATATCGACACGTGGTAAATCCAGGAGTGTGCTCTCGTTAGCACTCGTTACTTCGATTGCGTTCCTGTTCTTCGTCGCCTGCACTGACGACGAGTCAAGAGCACAGCCTGCTCCTACCAGTACTGACCGCCAGAACGCCGAAACTGCCGAAGCTGGAGGATCGCAAGCAAAGCCGTCTCCGCTCCCGCTGACGATTGCCGCCCTGGAAGGCCAGTCGCTGGAGTCCATGATGCGGGCGATCTACGAGCGACAACAAGCGATGTGCCCGTCCGTATGCTCCTACGTTCTGGGCACCGGGATTTACGGATTGCCGCAAGTCCTGGAACCGGAAACCGACCCGCCAGAGAGCGTCGCCGAACTGGTCACGGGTTGGACCGGCAGCATTTGGATTGGAGAGTTCTCAGACTACGAACTTGCCTGGACGGAGCCGAAGCGAATTGTGCTCGTCTCGGTCGAAGGCGTTCCTCCCCCACACCAGGGCTTCTATGAGACTGTCGGCAATGGTCTGGAGTTTGTTCGCATTCGCGGTGAATGGGAGTTGACCATAATATCGAGGTTGTTTGACTGTGAGGATCCGAGCGTTCCCCTTCCTGATGGCATCGGAACGCTTGCGAGTCGTCACAGGGGGGAGGACGGCTACTTTCTCTACGATGTTGAAGAAGCTGTGGACTACGACCATGAGTCGCAAGATGAGACTGAACAACGGTATTCGATTCTGGAAATCCGCAATCCTCAGGACTGGCCGCCTGCAATCGACGTAGCTGAGCTAACGGACCTGCTGACGGCGACTGCGCGAGAGCGCTGGTCGGTGGACTTTGCCTGTGTGAGCGTTACCAGGCGTTCGGTCGAATCGGGCGATGCAGGGACGGGATTGAACGCGGATTCGCCTATGCCAGATGGCATTCTGTCGATATTCGAAGAGCTGCGCTATGACCCTGAGCAGGCGTTGCTGCGGCTCATCGGCGAGCGGAGCATCGTATTGGCTTGGGTGGAGACGCGCGGCGGCGGACAGGTCAACGGCGGGGAGTTCGTTAGAGACTCGAGCGGCGAGTGGGCCGAGCGGACCTGGGTCTCGATGTACGGATGCGACGCGCTGGGCCAGTAGCTTTCGACGCGATCAACGGCAACAGCCGTCCGACCGCCGGTTCTTGCTTGCACAAACAAGGGAAGAATTGGGTGGCGACCCCGAGCGGATTCGAACCGCCGGTCTCCACCTTGACAGGGTGGCGTGTTAGGCCGCTACACCACGGGGCCGTATGGACAGTTTAGGCCCACTGGCCGGATTCAGCAACAGGGCATAAAGTGTAGGCAGAGCGTTGGAGGTTGCAGATGGCACGCGGATCACGTCGAGGACGAGGCGGAGCGAATCGCGCCCAGCAGGCAGCGCGACCCCAGGGACGGCGCGGCCAGCGCGGTCGCGAAGACATGTTGCCGACGGCGCAGGCAGGCGCTGCGAATGCTCCTGTGGGAGCGTCGCTCAGCGGCAACATCCAGCAGCCGGCCGCCGTTGGCAGGGCTGCGGGAGTATCGGGCGGACCACGCGGAGGCGCCGTTGGAGCGCATGAGCGCCGAGACCGTCGAGCCCGAGCGGCCGCCGCCATGCACGACTTCCATTACGTCCGGGGAGACCTGCGCTGGATCGCAATCACAACCGTTGCCAGCGTGGGCCTGGTGCTCGCACTGTGGGCGGCGATCACGATGTAGCGCACAACTCGGCAGCGGGGTCTCCCCAGTCGCTACCTCTGGAAGGTGTCTCAGAAGTCGCCTGACCTCTACCTCCGTCATACCCGCGCTCCGTCGCGGGTATCTCGCTTTGCTCGGCTCGAAAGTCAGGAGTCAGGTGAGCGATGGAAACGGGCGCCGATCCTCAAGTTCGAGCGTCGGTGCGGTACTCGGCGAGATTCCCGCGGCGGAGCGCGGGAATGACGAGTTTTGTTTTACAGAGGCTGCCTCTTCAAACGGGTCCCCGCTCGGAGGCGGGTATCCGGGGCTCTCAATCACATGTCAGTGGGCGGATCAACCAGCGCGAATGTCAACCGACCCTCCGCCGCCGTCTCTCCCTCGACCGTCGCTTTCGCGCTGGCGCGTCCGATGCCCCGGCGCAGACGATCCATTTCCACTTCGAGGCGCAGCTGATCGCCGGGTACGACCTGGCGTCGGAAGCGCACGCCGTCGATGCCCGCGAACAGCCCGAGCTTTCCCTTGAACTCGTCCGCCGACAATGCGGCGACTGCGGCGGTCTGAGCCAGCGCCTCGATGATCAGCACGCCGGGCATGATTGGGTTGTCGGGGAAGTGACCTTCGAAGAACCACTCGTTGGTCGTCACGTTCTTGAGGCCCACCGCGCGCTTGCCCGGCTCCAGTTCGATGATCCGGTCAACCAGCAGGATTTCGGATAGCGATGGGGGATGATCCGTCGAATGGCGCGCACATCAGTGGGAGTTCATAGTCGGTCATGCTCACAGGTCTTCAGAATGTCGATGATTGGTCGGCGGCATGTTCGGGCATTGGGCACGGCCGGCTGGACGAATCTCGATCAGGGTGCAGACCGTGGAAGTCGGAGCCGACGGTCGTACCAGTCCCTAAGCCGCTGCGCGAGCTGTTCGCCGTTCGCTAAACTCGTCTGTCGTCGTGCGATAGTAGATCTCGAGACCGTCGCCGCCGGCGGATGCGAAGGGAGTTGGTCGCGCCGTTGGGTTGTCATAACGAGTGGGATGCGCCAGCGATGCGAAAACCGCCTGCGTTGTGAATCATCTCCAGCGAGTCGGTCAGGCTGAGCAACGTTCGCGGAATGTAGGCCGGCCCGTCGTTGCGGAGGTAGCGGTTGAACGCTCATGCACCGACTCGACGTGCCCCGCTTCGACGAGCGCTCGCGCGATGTGCGGACGCCCAATCGATGCGCCGTTCGCAATGGCGACAACCGCTTCGTAATCAATCGGCAGACCAAGTTCGCCCAGACGATCCACTGTGCGCCGGGCTCGCGATTGGCGCTCCTCTCGGTAGGCGGCTAGTTGACGTTCGAGGTCTCCGAGCGGCGCCTGCTCAGAGAAGTATCCGAGCACATGCAATTCTCCGAGTTCAGGGTCGTTTACGCCGATCTCGACTCCGGCGATCACTTCTACGCCGAGTCGGCGTCCTTCAGCCTGCGCGTCTTCGACGCCATACAGGGTGTCATGGTCGGAGAGTGCCAGCAGTTCGGCGCCATTGGCGGCGGCTTGCTGCACGACCCACTCGGGCGGCTTCATACCGTCGGAGTGGGTGCTATGCGTGTGCAGGTCGAGCCGCGCCATGTGGCCGCCTCGCGCCGGGCGATCTAGCGCGCGTACTCGGCGGCGCGGGTCTCGCGCAGGACGGTGACGCGGATCTGGCCCGGGTATTGCAGCGATTCCTCGATCTGCTTGAGATGTCCCGCGCCAGGCGCATCGCACCGAGGTCGTCGATCTCGCGCGGGTCAACGACGACCCGCACTTCGCGACCAGCCTGGATGGCGTAGGCCTGTCCGACGCCATCGAAGGAAGTCGCGATGTCTTCCAGCGCGCGCAGTCGCTCAATGTAGCGTTCTGCCGACTCGCGACGCGCGCCCGGACGTCCGCCGGAGATGGCGTCGGCCATCTGCACGATGATCGCTTCGACTGAACGAATCTCGACCTCGTCGTGGTGCGCCTCGATGCAGTGCGCGATGTCCTCGGACAGCTTGAATCGGCGGGCCAGGTCGCCACCGATGATGGCGTGCGTGCCCTCGACATCGTGGTCGATCGCCTTGCCCACGTCATGAAGCAGGGAACCGCGCCGGGTTACCTCGACGTCGGCGTGGATTTCCTGGGCGATCATCGCTCCGATGTGCGCGGTCTCGACGGCGTGTCGGAGCTGGTTCTGTCCGTAGCTCGTGCGGAAGCGAAGCCGGCCGAAGATATCGAGCATCTCCCGCGGCAACCCGCTGCAGTGTGCCTCGATCGCCGCCTCATCGCCAGATTCGCGGATGATGCGGTCAACGTCCCGTTGCGCCTTGGCGACGGTTTCCTCGATGCGGGTGGGATGGATGCGGCCGTCGGCGACCAGACGGCTAAGCGACAGCCGGCCAACCTCGCGGCGGACCGGGTCGAAGCCGGAGACCGTGACGACATCCGGCGTGTCGTCGATGATCAGGTCGCAGCCCAGAGCCGCTTCGAGCGCGCGGATGTTGCGGCCCTCGCGGCCGATGATTCGGCCTTTCATCTCGTCGGAGGGAATTTGAACGACTGAGACCGTGGACTCGGTCGTCACCTCTGAGGCAACGCGCTGAATCGCCGTGGCGATAATCTTCCGAGCGCGGGTCTCCGCCTCTCCCTTGGCCTTCTGCTCCGCCTCGCGGACCAGCCGACCGGCTTCGTCGGATATCTCCAGCTCGACGCGGGCGAAGAGGACCGTCCGTGCTTCGTCCCGAGTCAGGTTGGAAACCTCTTCCAACCGCTGATCGTGCTCGGCCTCGCGTTGGTCCAGCGCTGCGCCGCGCTGCTGCAGTCGTTGACCATCGCGATTCAACTTGGAATCGCGGTCGTCAAGCGAGCGGATGCGGTCATCCAACGTCGCTTCGCGCCGGTCGAGCCGGTCAACGGCTCGCTGCAGGTCGTCTCGCGCCCCGCGCACGTCGGCGAGGATCTGGTCTCGTTCGGCTTGTGCTTGCTCCCGCGCCTCTTCTTGCCGTTTACGCGCCTCCCGATCGGCCTGTTCCCCGGCCTGTTGGAGGATGCGTTCGGCTTCGAGCTTGGCCTCGATACGTGGATCGGGCCCGCTGCGCAGGAGCCGCATAATGGCTCCCCACATGGTGTCCTCGGCTCAATTGGGTCGGCATTGCAAATTTGCGTTGCCTGTTGTCACGTTCAATCTCACTCTGCCACGCCTGTCGCGCCTGTCGGGTTCCAATATCGACAAGCGGCGGGCAGGTGGTCTCTGGTAGGCAGACTACGCCCGTTAACGAACGGGCGCCAGTGGAGATTATTCGAGCTCCGACCACGCTTGGCGCAGAGACGCGCTGGTTTCGGCCGGAGCGAATCCTCGCATGGCCATGCGGCGGGTATGCAAGAGCCGGAACCTGGGCCAGGTTAAATCGGGATCGCGTTCCAATGTCAGGCGCAGGTTGCGCCTCGCGATCTCAAGCGCGACGGCGTAGTCGCCCAACGCTCCCTGCTCTTCAAGCGCGTCCAGGACGACGTCAACGGTCTGCTTCGACAATCCACCGGCCTGCAGCTTGACCGCGATTTCGTTCCGGCTGTAGCGCTGCTTGCCAGCCAGCCGCTGTGCTTCGTGGGTGGCGAGGTCGAAAGACGCCGACTCACGGAGTCGGTCAACGAAGACCTGGTCGATCTGCTGTCCCCGTTTGATCTTCGAGCGCTGAGCGAATGCGCGCGTACAGCGAAAGGAACTGCCGTCGTCAAAGTTGACCGTGGAGAGGGCTCCGCTGGGCCGGATTGAGAGGACGGCAGTCATCGTTCGCTCCGCGTCGGGTCTCGTCTAGCTGCTTAGCCCATCCGAGAGCGGCCTTTCTTCTTCGGTGGCGGTTTGGCGATCGGTTTGGACTTGGGGGCGCCGTCCGCTGTGAGGAGTGACTTGGCGTTGGGGAGGCCACGTTCCTCCCGGATGCGCGCTTCGATTTCTTCCGCGATCTCGGGGTGTTCGCGCAGGAATGCCTTGGTGCGTTCACGCCCCTGGCCGAGTCGAGTCTCGCCGTATGAGTAGAACGTGCCCTGTTTTTTGATCACGGACGGGGCCCCGGCCGGTGATCCCGGCGCCGGCTCAATGCCGAGGTCAATCAGGCAGCCAGTCTTGGAGATTCCGTGCTCGGCGGCCGTGAACATGAGGTCGAACTCCGCGGTCCGGAACGGAGGCGCCACTTTGTTCTTGACGACCTTCGCCTTGACCCGCGTGCCAATGACAACCTGGCCGTCCTTCAATGTTTCGGCTCGGCGCAGTTCGATCCGGACAGACGAATAGAACTTGAGCGCGCGGCCGCCGGGCGTGGTTTCCGGGTTGCCGAAGACGATGCCGACCTTCTCGCGGAGCTGGTTGATGAAGATCAACACGGTTTTGGATCGGGCGACAACGCCGGTCAGTTTGCGCAGGGCCTGGCACATCAGTCGGGCCTGTAGACCGACCTGTGTGTCCCCCATTTCACCTTCGATTTCGGCTCGCGGTACGAGAGCGGCGACGGAGTCGACCACGACAACATCAATCGCGTTGCTGCGGACCAGCGCCTCGACGATTTCCAGGGCCTGCTCCCCGGTGTCCGGTTGCGCAATGAGCAACTGCGACACATCGATCCCCAGGCGCGAAGCGAACTCGGGATCCAGGGCGTGCTCGACATCGACATAGGCTGCCTGTCCGACCAAGGCGTTGCGCCTCGGCGATGACATGTTGCGCGACCGTCGACTTGCCGGCTGATTCAGGGCCGTACACCTCAACGATGCGTCCGCGCGGTAGTCCGCCAATGCCCAGCGCTACATCGAGCGACAGGGCTCCGGTGGGGATGCCGTCGACTGTGAGTCGGGCGCTGACGTCGCCGAGGCGCATCAGGGAGCCTTCGCCGAAGCGGCGCTCCATGTCGCCCAGCAGTTCGTCAATCGCGGGCGGAGATTCGTTCGTCGGCTTGATTGTGGTGGTCATGGGCAGTGGCTCTTGTGCATCGGTCGTCAGGGCAATGGGCTTGACGCCGTTGTCGGTCTTGTTAGGTGGCATAATATGCGCTTTCCCTTGTTGGTGAGTCTGGTTGCCGAGCGGCATTCCTGCGAACGCCTGTGCTGCGCACACTACGAAAGATGCTTGCCAATGTCAAGCAAACGTTCTAGGAATGAGTGAAAGCGAAGATCAGGCGCTGCTGAGCAGAGCGTTGCCGATGATCTGCAGGCCGATCAGCGCGACCAATGGTGAGAGGTCGATCATGCCGATGACCAGGAAGCGTCGCAACGGCGCCAGCACCGGCTCGGTGACGTCAAGCAGGAACTTGACGAACGGGTTGGAGGGGTCGAGCGGGCGGTTGGTGAACATCGGCACCCAGCTCATCAACACCCGGGCGAGCAGAGACGAAGGAGTAAATCTGGATCGTGATCCCCAGGATGCGCAGGACGTCACTCATTGCCGACCCAGTTCTTCCGCTCGTTGGTGCGCGGCGGCGATCGCGTCAATCAGCGCGGCGCGCACGCCCCGTTGCTCCAGCACACGCAAGCCCGGCCGCAGTTGTGCCGCCCGGCGATGTCACCATGTCTTTGAGTACGGCGGGATGCTGGCCACTCTGGGCCGCAAATTCGCTGGAGCCGATGATCGTTTGCAGCACCATGCGCCGGGCGTCGTCGGGTCGCAGGCCAATATTGACTGCCGCATTGATCATTGCTTCAATGATCAGGAACACGTACGCGGGTCCGCTGCCCGAGACGGCCGTGATTTTGTCGATCGCGGACTCGTCGGCGACGTAGAGCTGCTCACCCATGGTGTCGAGCAGTTGGCTGACCAGATTGCGCTCATCGTCGGTCACGCTCGCGGTCGCGGTCCAGGCGGTGAAACCTTTTCCGATTTGCGCGGGTGTGTTGGGCATGGCGCGGACGATGCGCTCAGCGCCGGTCGAGGCTTGGACGTCGGCGATCGTGGAGCCGGCCAGAATTGAGATCAGCAGCTTGGCCTCGGTACCGCCCTCGCTGTTCAGCGATCGCAAGTCCTGCGGCTTTGACGGAGAGGTAGACGACCTCACCGCCATTGACCGCTTCGGCCTGATCGCCGGTCACCGAGATGCCGCTGAACTCGTCTTCCAGCCAGGCTCGACGCTCGGGCAGGACTTCACAGACTGTCAGGTCACTCATTGAGACCAGACCGGCGTTGGTCACGGCGCGGACAAACGTCGCGCCCATCGTGCCGCCGCCGATCACGGCGATCGTGGTCATGCCGGACCTCCGACATGATCCCCGCGTTGGCCGAAGATCGCGCGTCCAATTCGGACCATCGTGGAACCTTCCTCGATGGCTACAGCGTAGTCGTTGGTCATGCCCATGCTGAGTTCGAAAGCGTCAACTCTTCGGCAAGCTCACGCAATTTCCCAAAGACCGGACGCACCTCTTCCGGGTCCGAAACTTCCGGCGCCACGGTCATCAATCCAGTTACTCTCAAATTTGAGAGTAGTTGAATGCTTGATAGTGCATCGGCCACTTCTTCGAGCTTGAACCCGTATTTCGTTGGCTCATTGGCCACATTCACTTCGAGCAACACTGTCAAGTCACTCTCAAGCTGCCTCGCAAGCCGACTTGAAATTGCCTGCGCGAGACGCACGCTGTCGACCGACTGCACCGAGGCAAAGCGTCCTGCATCTCGCGCCTTGTTGCGCTGCAAG